TCTCTGACAGCTAGGAATGGCAACGGGGCGGGACGGGGCCGGGGACTACTCCCCCGTCCCCGATCCCCGAAATTTATATGCGCCCCGTCCCCGTCCCCGATCCCCGACGGGGACCCATAGCCCGGCCCCATCCCCGCCCCCGATCAGGGATCGGGGATCCCCGACCCCGAAAATCCCCGGTGGCATTTTTTTTTTTTTTTAATGTAAAAATCTGTAAATAGATTAAAAAACATCCTGAAACATCCAGTTTTACAAAACATCCTGAAAATCCATTTTCATCCTGAAACAATGGATTAAAAATCTGTAAATTGATTACAAATCTGAAGCAACATCTGTAAATTGATTAAAAATCTGAAGTAACATTTTGTTGCCAACATACAAAACATCCTGAGGCAACAAAAAAATTTGTAAAAATCTGTAAATGTAAACATCCTAAAGCAAAATACAAAACATTAATAAATATCCATTTAAATCCTGTAGCAACATCCTGAAAATTCAGCATCCATTACATCCTGTAGCAACATTATGAAAATTCAACATCCATTACAACATGAAAATTCAGCAGTCCAACAAAACAACACAAACAAAACATCATGTAGCAACAAAATAACACAAACCAAACATCTGTCCAGCAACCCACACACACAAGAAAATTCAACAAGTACCAAAGAGAATAATTAATCCCAAGCACAACCCGCAAGGAATAGGTTACCCAAAAATTAAAATTAAAAATAAAAAATATATATCCATTACAACATAAAAAAGCAAAGAGCAATGCTAGGTATCATGAAAAGTTTTTCATGAAAATGGTCATGAAAAATTTGTGACCTTTGGATTACACTTACAATAAAGCACCACACACTAATCAAGGTAATCTAAGAGTCACAAATTTTTCATGATCCTTTTCATGATAAAATTTTCATGATCTCTAACATTTCTCAAAAGCAAATCCATCATCTCCCCCAACTTGAACTCCTGTAGGAGACTACGCCAGAATTGGGACAACAGGATATTCATGCACACTAGAAGATAGCTAGAGCAAATGGGTTGGATCAGAATCTGGGCCTTGTTACAACACAGGCCCAAATGGGTAAGGGGCCTTTAGACCCACCTGTTAAACCTAGCTATTATGTGACTGAACCTCCAGACAACCCAATTAGTGGTCTAGCCCAATCCGGGGGAAGTGAAGCCAATACAGAGGAGCTACAACAACAACTGGCCCTGAAAAGCCCAATTCCCTCTTTTTTAACCAAAAAACAACCACATCTCTTAGATGGGCTACTCTCAAAGGCCCTAACCCAGTTATCTCTAAAGCGGAAGGAGGTTGACGATGATAGCACAAATCTGCAATAGGTGAAATTTTTGAGGAAGGAAGGTGGTCAAGATCACCCTACCCAGAGGGTGGTCCAGAATATACTGCCTTTGCCCAATATTGAGCTCCAAAAGACGCAATTGGATAGGGGAAAAGCAAAGCGGGGGAAGCAAGGAAGTCCTCGAGTAAGGAAAAGTACTTCGACAACCAGAGGGAGTTCCGGCTGCTGCGGTAACATACCCGATGAGTGTTAATCCCAGCTGTATTATCTCTGATGAGAATCTCTTGCAAGTGTCGATTACATGCCCAGTTAGGGAGTTATTTGAAAACATGTGGGCTGTGGTGGCGAGCCCTAAAGCACCACAAGGGCCATGTTGATACTCAGCTAGAATTGTCAAGGGATGGGGCGACCCCTGACATTCTAGATCTTACGAAGGTTATGCATGACCCATTGTCCCTCAATAATTTTCCTAATGGAAACCAAAAACAAGCGAACTATGCTAGAAAGAACGAGAAAGAGGCTCCGATTTCCAAATAAAAGCTATGTAGATCATGTTGATCTGTCAGGAGGTTTAGCACTTTGGTGGAAAGATGAAGTGGACTTGCATGTTAGTCACAAATTGGCTAATACATTTAAATGTTTCATTGCTATGGGAACGGCATCTTCTAGTTGGCTTGCCACATTTGTGTATGCTCCTTCCCGTTGGGCTGAAAGAAGAGTCTTTTGGCAATATCTAAAAAAATTGACTGTTGGAAATGGCTACCCTTGGGTGTGTTTGGAGGATTTAAATGAAGTCGGTTGGTCGTTGGAGAAACAGGGTTCAGGGCGCTGCAACAGAGATAGGATGCGAAGTTTTCAAGATTTTCTTTCTCGTTGTGAGCTTATGGATCTAGAGTTTAAAGGGGCACCATACACTTGGACCAACAACCAGCCGTGTGTTCATAATGTGAGAGAGAGATTGGATAAAGCTTTGGCCACAGTGAGTTGGCGACAGAAATTCCCTTATGCACAAGTACACCATGAGGCATTGATAGGGTCGGATCACTGCCCTCTTCTGGTACATTCTCATATCCCGCCAAAGAAGATACTTTGCCTATTCAAATTTGAGTCTATATGGACTACTAGCCCCGAATGCTCCGAGGTTATCCAATCACATTGGGGGGAGGATCTGGCAGTTTCACATATGTATAGTTTTTCCCAGAAGCTCAAGAGATGTAGTAACGGTTTATCCCGATAGAGTAACGAAAAATTTGGAGATAATTGAATCTGAATTGCTAATTTAAAAAAATTGATTCGAGACTTACAAGCCTATCCTTTTTCAGATGACACTCAAGTCCAGATTCGGAGGTTTCAAAGGGAGTTAGCAGAAGTGTTGGCCCGAGAGGAAATGTTTCAACATTAGAGATCTAGAATCAATTGGCTGCAGTATGGAGACAAAAACACAACTTTCTTTCATGCTACGGTTATCCAAAGAAGGCAACGGAACCAATTGGTCAAGTTAAAAACTGATTTGAGAGAATGGTGTGAGACGGAAGAAGCTATTAATGATCAGCTCCTATCTCATTTTTCAAAATCTGTTTCGCGCCATGGAGGCTAGAGATTTGACTGAAGCTTTTGCAGCTGTGGAGTGTTAGGTAACTAAAGCAATGAATTCTGATCTGACTAAACCTTTCACCGATGATGAAATCAAAGCGACAACTTTTCAGTTGGGATCACTAAAAGCTCCGGGACCAGATGGCTACCCAGGTATATTCTATCAAAAGCATTGGTTTGTAATTGGCCCATCTTTGTGTGCAGCAATCCACAATTTTTTTTGATAAAGGGACTATTTTGAGAGATTGGAATCATACGAATCTTGTCCTAATCCCAAAGGTGGCAGCCCAGAGACAGTGCACCATTTTAGACCTATCAGCTTATGTAATTTCAAGATGAAAATTATCACAAAAATTTTAGTGAATTGGCTCAAGAAAGTCCTCCACCAGTTAATCACACCCTCTCAATCAGCCATTCACACCCTCTCAATTAGCCTTTGTTCCAGGGCGATTGATCCAAGACAACATTCTTGTAGCGCATAAAGCTTTCCATTTCTTATGACATAAAAAAAGGGGTAGGCGGGTGGATTTAGCTTTGAAGCTGGACTTTAGTAAAGCCTATGATCGGATTCAATGGGATTTTCTAGAAGCCGTATTCAAAAAAATTGGGTTTTAGTGCACAATGGGTTCGGTGGGTCGTGGAGTGTGTTTCGACCGTCAGCTCCTCAATTATGGTCAACGGGGTTGCTTTCACCACGACTTGTGGGATTAGGCAAGGAGATGCCCTATCCCCCTACCTTTTTCTGATAGTGGCAGATGTGTTGTCAAAATTGATTAACCGTGGCATTCATTCAGAGACCATCTCGGGACTCAAAATGAGTAGGTACTGTTCGATTTTTTTCCATTTGTTCTTTGTAGATGATGCTATTCTGTTCTTCAGAACTAGTAACCTTGAGTGTCAGAACATGCTTTAGATTCTTCATGTTTACAACAGGGCATCGGGTCAGCTCCTAAATTTTGATAAATCTGAGATTGTGTTTTCTGCCAATGCCGATGAAGAAGTAAGGGAGAGGACATGTAGAACCATGGGTATCAATCAAGTGTGACAGAATGTTAAATATCTGGGTTTACCTTCAGTGTGGGGGCAATCTAAGGGAGCGACACATGGTTTTCTGCTTGAAAAAATGGCCGCTAAAATGCAAGGGTGGAAAAATAATCTTCTCTTTCATGCCAGGAGGGGGGTTCTTATTAAAGCAATTGTGCAAGCTATACCCTCTTATGCAATGGCATGTTTTTTATTTCCCCAGAGTTTGTGTCAAAAGAAAAGTTGGACGCCTTTATTCGAAACTAATGGTGGAAGGGGGGAGATCCGGGGGAGAGAGGTATCCATTGGAAAAAGTGGGCATCCACGTGCATGTCAAAAAATGAAGGCGGCATGGGATTTTGAAATTTTTCACATATTAATCAAGCTCTACTTGCTCGACAAGGCTGGAGACTAATCAAATCCCCGAACTCCTACTGAGCTACGACGTTTAAAGGGCTATATTATCCACATTTGGATTTCTTACATGCAGCTAGAGGGGCTAGAGCTTCATGGGCATGGTCAAGCTTGATGAAGGATAGGGACTTATTGTTAAAAGGTTGCCGATGACAGATTCACAATGGGAACTTAGTTCGCTTCTGGGATGACAACTGGATACCATCAATCCTAGATTTTAAGGTCTCATCCAATCTGTCCCCAGGGAGTGGTATTTTGTATGTTTCGGATGCTATAGACCCTATGACTAAGCAATGGAAAGTCGCTGTCCTGAGTAATATTGTCACAATTGAGGAGCTGAAGGCAATTCGGTCTATCCCATTACCTTTCGAAGATAAGGAAGATACTATAGTTTGGCACTCCAACAAATCGAGGATATACTCTGTAAAGTCTGGGTACCATTTGGCCAGCAAGCTTTCGGACAATCATCTCTCAGTACAACCCTAGTCCTTTTACTTTTTTCCTCGGTGTTTTAGGAGAAAAATTTGGAATTTAAACGTACCCCAAAAAATCTGCCATTTTTGGTGGAGATCATGGAAGAATGTATTGGCAACAAATGCAAATTTGGCTAAACGTAGATGTGCAGCATCCAATATATGTCCAATATGCCATAAAGAAATGGAAATAGTGGAGCATATGCTTTTTGACTGTGAATGGACAAAGGCAGTCTGGTTTGGGAGCATGTTGAATTTTCTGATGGAACATGGAGCTATTACGAATGTGGCACAATGGACAACTCAATGGGGGGATGACGGGATGTTTAAAGAATCTGGAAAGGAAATTCTAAGCAAAACTGCTTTGATTGGTTGGTATATATGGAAGGCAAGAAATGATTTCACTTTTAACTTTGTGCCTGTCAATCCATATGACACACTCCAAAAAATACACCATTGGTGGAACGAATGTAATCTACAAGGTGGGGAAAAGAACACCGTGGCTAGTGCTGATAGCTCAAGGGAATACAGAGAAGGGTCTGGCTGGACACCTTCCCAGGTGGGGAATTTTAAAGTTAATTGTGATGCATCTTTCAACAGGTCATCGACAAATGCTTCTGCGGCAGCCATCCTTGGGGATTCAAAGGGCCATATTATTGATGGGGTTATTACATCCTTCTTCTCGGCATTAGCTTTGCAAGCTGAAGCGTATGCAGTGCGACTGGCATGCCGTTTAGCCCAGATGAATGGACTTTATGCAGCTAAAATTGAGAATGATAATCAAGAGCTCATTAAACTGTGTGTGTCTGAAACAGTCCCTCTATGAGAGATCATGGCAGTTGTGGTTGATATTCGCAGATTTGGAAAGGACAGATCTTGGAAGTTCTTGTGGATACGAAGGTCTAACAATAGTGCTGCTCATTGGGTGGCTGTTGCTCAATCAAGATGAATTCTACCTGCAAGTTGGGTATCTTGTGTGCCACTAGAATTAGCTTCTGTTCTTTTAAATGACGTATCTGTCCTTCCTTAGTGTTTCTTCTATATAATCCTTACTGTTCATAAAAAAAATCAAGAAAAATCATGAAAATATATAAAGTAAATAAATATTTGTTTGATTTTCATTTAATTTTCAACTAAAACACTCTTTTATGATGATTTATAATTTTAAAATTTTGAGAGTTTTTTAGTTATATACATATATATTTATCAATCAAAGATGCATGCTATTGACAGTGAATGAATCAATTGATTCTACTCTGAAATACATTCTTAATGTTTCTTTTTTCTTTACACTGGTTTGCCTCCAAGGGATGCATCACTTCTTTAAGGGCAACACAACATTTTTTTTTTCTTTTTCTTTTTATTAGCAAAAAAAGAAATTTTATTGATGCATCATTATAAACACCCTTAGGCGCTTTCTTTTGAACACCCAATGATGAAAATTGGAATATGTTATATTACACATTTCTCAACAAAAAAGTCAGATTCAAGCTTTAATTCCAACCTGATAGCCGTTTTGTCCAAATTATTTTAGACCCATTCGAAAACTTATTTTGTCCACATGTCTATTTTTCAAATATTTTTCAATCCGAAAATCCATTTCATTATTGAGGGAATTTTTTTTTTTAAAGTCAAAAGTGGAGACATTTTTTTTTTAATTTTCAAAAAAAGATTAAAACATTATTTCATTGTTGAAGGAATCTTGGCTTTTCAAAGATGAAGATATTTTGATTTATCTTGGATTGGTTTTCAAAAGAAGAAAAGGGGAGACAAAAACATTGGAAGGAGATCTTTGATTTTTGTTTTCAAAAGAAGCAAATGAGAGACAAAAACATTGTAAGGGATCTTTGATTTTCTTTTGGATTTTCAAAACAAGAAAAGAGGAGACAAAAATATTGGAAGAGTACCTTTGATTTTTCTTTGAAGAAAATGGGAGACAAAAACATCGGAAGATGATCTTCATTTTTCCTATAAATTCTCTTCATTCTCTTGAAGAAAAAGTTGGCTAGTTTTTGAAAAGAATGGTTAGTTTTTAAGAAGAGTGGTTTTTTTTTTTTTAGAAAAGTGGGAATTTTATTGAGAAAGAAAAGAGGTTGTTTTTATATAATAATAATAATAATAATAATAATAATAATAATAAAAAAACCCATTGAAACAAAAAAAAAAAAAATTGAGAGAAGAGATACCATCAAAACTCTATTGAAGCTAAGACTTGAAGCTTTTTTTTGAGAATTCAGAGCATACTCTAGAACCTTAAGGGTGCTGGGAAAAGAGTTTGGAAATAAAAAAAATTCAACCTTTCCTCCAAAGGAATTCCCAGATGAGCAAAACAGAGTAGTTCTCAAGCAATAAACAAGGCAATTTTTTACGAATGATTGAAGTTTCTTATTAATTTTTTGTTGTTGTTGTTGTTGTTGTTGTTGTTTTTTTTTTTTTTTTTTTGTGTATATTCCCATGATTTGTTAGATTCAGTTTGTTTTGTAATAATTTTCAACCTCATTTCTTTTATTTTTCTTTTATTCAGTGTTACAATAATTCTCCGCCCTCGCTTCTTTCTATCCCTTTCATTTACTCACTTTCCATATCTGTAAATAGTATCATATTTTCTTTTTCATCATATCCATTTTTGTGATGACCGGGGGTATTATTCGCCCTATTCTACTAGGTTTAACTTTAGATCTGTGATGTTCGAAAGTTGTTCCTCAAATGAATTCTTATTCTTGTTTGTTCGGTGTTGATTTTCACTTGTTCCGGAGAGTGCGAGGTCAGGTCCGAAGTGCCTGGAACTGAGCTGAGAAAATTCTGGGCTATAGAACTAGGGCCGCACGTGAGGGAGGTGAGGCCGCACGTGCGGAATTTAGGAGAGGTTTGGGGCAGCACACTACAATATATGCAGGTGCGGAGCAAGGTGCGGGAGGGGATGGCCGCACGTGCGGGGATGAAGGCCGCACATGCGGGAAAGAGGCTCCACACTTGCGGGGGCACGTGCCTCACATGTGGGATGCTGGGCAGTCCGAATCTCTGTTTTATTTTCTCTTTAGGGCTGTGTTTGTATCACTTTTGGCTCATCTCTCTCCCTCTAAAAATCATTTCCTCTCCCTTCTCTCTACATCTCCTACACCAAATCTCCTAGAACCTTTCATTTTTAGCAACCTATTGAGTTTTGATCCACCTTCTTTCACAATTCTTTGGGAGCAAAGCAAGAATTACATTGTGTGCGGTGGAGATCTCCTTCCAACATTATCAATTCTAGGGTTTCATCTCCTTTTCTTTTTCAAACCTTGAGGTAGGGAATCACTTAGAGTTATATATATTTTTTGCAAGTTTTTGATTGATTTTGAGAATTCATCTTTGTTGATTTTCGAAAATGGGTTTTGAGCTCAAGAGGGTGGAGGGTGTTGTAGAAGAAAATTCATCTTTTGTGCTTTTTAAAGACTGGTCTTGAAATGCTGGACCACATGGGTGGAGATTGACGTATTTAAAAAGGTTTTGTAAAGGGATGAAGAAATGTTAGGATCTTTGGTGAAAAACTTAGAAATTGGGAGTTTTAGAAACAATGTGGGGATTAATGGATTTTCTTGTGTCAAGGAAAGGAATAAATGAAAATTTCATAATATTGTTTGCAAAAATGACAACTTTACTTGGTACATAAAGATTGGGAAATTGTTTTAAAAATTTTGTTAATTGCATGAACATGTATAGCTATGAGATGATAAAATTGTTGAGTTACTTGAAAGATGAAAGTTGAGAATTGTGCAAGGTGGGGAAATGTTGCCACTTGTTAGTAATGTAAATTGAACACGTAGCTATTTTGTGATAAATAACATTGAAAAAGGACAATGAGAAATGTGGTTGTTGTAGTATTATTGTTGAGATACTTGAGAATGAATAATGCTGCGAGGCATTAATAATTGTTGCATTACACACTCATTTCCTCGATTATTATGCATTTTGAATTGAGTTTGGAAACGTTTGCATTGAAATAAGTACATATTGAAATGATATCATGGAAATCTTTATGGGGTAAATACGTTGGTAAGTTTGGATAGGAGGTGTAGATGACATTGATAAGTTGGCCTGAGTGTCCGGGGTGAAGGATCGAAAACACGTGTGGAGGAGGTACCACTTCCCTTCCGGTTAGTAACCGGTAAAGTGGGGTTTTTGGTAGTGCTAGTTGAGTCTACTTGCAGACACCAACCTAGGGATTACCTAAGTCATATTTACCACCCCTATTGAATAAAATTGGAAGTTTTCGGAATTGTTAAGATTTCAATTATTGTTGAAAAATGGTGATTTTCAAAAGAACGTATAAATGAAAATTTCTTTAAACTAGCATTGCATGGCATTTGCATCTAATATTGGAAATCTTGTATAAAAGTATATACTTTGTTAAGGGTTCTCTACTGGGCTTTATGCTCACCCTATGGGATTTTGGTGCAGGAAAAGATGTCGTGATCCCGCCAAGTTGAGGGCGTGGATGTGTTGTGAAGAGTAATAACTCTGTTTTGCTATGATTTAATTGCTAGCCAAGGACTATTCATTATAGGTCTGAGAGGCCACTTTTGTGTAACTGGTCTTAAGCCTCAGAAGTTATAAGCCCATGAGGGCATTTTATTTATTTTTCAGATTAGATGCTTCACATGCTATAGATTCATGTGTTTTCATAGCGTTGAATGTATAATTCGCATGTGGAACTTTTGCATAAACCCGTTGATTAATCATGTAAAGATGGGAGGATTATTAATATTATTCAGTGGATGTTGGTCGATGTAGTTAATTTATGTTGGATTATTTTGGGGCGTTACAACTTAGTATTAGAGCTACCGGGTTTGAATACTTGGGGCTCGCGGGAAGTGGTCGTTTATCCACAATGGGTTCATTTTGCATGATTAGGAAATGTTTTGTTTTTCGTGATTACGTGATAACATGCTTATGTGACTATATGGGTATGGGATTAGACTTTTGGGATGTTATTTGCGCCTATTAAATTCCTTGAGGTCTTATTAGAAAGGTACATGATCAATACTCGTTCTAATAAGAATTCTTGGTTTTTCGGTGAACGAATCTCATCACAAAAGAATAATCCGTATGTGCTTACGTGACTAAGTGCTTATGTGGAGTGAATTGAATTGTTTATGTGGTAGAATATATATAGTTGTTGTAGTTTAACATGTGAGGCAAGTTGCGAGCACATATGGAATTATGTGCTAAATTATCTATCTTGTTCCTTAATTAGGATGTCAGGAAGGGGTCAAACTCGTGGTGGTAGAGGTGGAATAAGTGGTAGGCGTCGCTGGGATGTGCAAGAAGTACTGGTCCAAGGGGTCTCGGTGCAAGAGGAGGGGTTGGGCCAAGCTAATGTGGCCGAGTAAGTTGGGCAAGCGAAAGTTCCGGGGCAAGCGGGTCAAGCCGTAATGGAGGCCCTAGCCCGAGAAAAGGTGGGGGCCTTGAGAGAGTCTATGAATATACTAAGGGTGGAAAGTCAAGCTAAGGAGAACGTCGTAGAGACAAGGGGGGTTTCCTCAAGAGGGAGTTTTTGCGGGCCAAGCCGGATGAGTTCCATGGTGGCCCCGAGCCTAAGAAAGCAGATGCATGGCTTAAACAGACAGTGAAGACCTTTGAGATGCTTCAAATCGAAGATAGTGAGCTTAGGGTGACTTTTACGAGTTACTACCTCAAGGGGGACGCAGGCCAATGGTGGAAGTATGCCAAGGGCCGAATAGAATCGACATGGGAAGCGTTTGTAGTGGCTTTCCAAGACAAGTACCTACCTTCCACTGCTAGGGAGAGGTTGAGGCAGGAGTTCCAAGACCTTAAACAACTTAA